AAAAGCGATACAACATCAAAAGACACCATGATCTCATGCGGTTCGATTGTACAATTAGATATTTTTCTCACGAAGTCGTTGCTGTTGGTAACAGTGAATTGGCTGCGTTGTAACGGAGACAAAATAGAAGCTAGGTATTTGGAAGCCTGATAGGTGGGGCAGTTGATGGAACTGGTGATGGGTCTCAGTGGGACCTCGGGGTTATGTATCTTTGGTAATCCATAGAAAGTAGCTGGTGTGGCATCAGTGCTTCGGAGTTTGTAGTACAATTTGTCGTCGAGTTGTTGCGCACCGGGATCATGGATTGATTTTTGATCTTTTGATCATGTTTGTGCCCCTCCGGAGGGCACAAACATGGCGTCTCCATACGAAGCTCTACAAATTTGGGTGACACACTTCTGCGAATAACGCGCGAATGAAAAACAGCAGAAAGCTGATTCTCGGCAAGGTTGTTTATATAGCAATCATCTATTATATCCCAGATTCTGGAATTTATTTATTGAATGGATACGATTTTTAGTTTTGATCACATGACTGGTGAATACCAAGAATAAATGTGAAGACTGGCACTCCCAGCAGGGGAACGTCGGGATCATTTTTCTCGCTCCAAGCTCTGCTCCACGCCTCAGGCATGTTACGCGAAGGCCTGGGAAGGAGTGTCGGCGCGGGAAATGGCGAGACATTGCGAGACATAAACAATGATGCTTGAGTGCACTTGTTGATTCATTTGTACCTCAAGAAAGATTCTTGTGCTACTATGGAGCGAGAAGAAGTTATAATAAGCAATGGAAATGGCCTCCAAAGCACTAAAATGCTTTCTGATCGTATAATGGCGGTTTGTTATATCGAGACTGTCTTCAGAGACGTGAAAACGGGGAAAGAGCGATTGAAGTAAGGCTTCCTTTTTGTTTTATTGTTGTGGAGTTTTGCGCGTAAGGTGATTTTCTTAAGTTCTTGTTTTATTATTAAGAACTGCATAAGAACTTCATTTTGATTTTGTTCAATGTTTGTCAATTGCAGGCGAGGAACTGGGTTTTTTTCGAAGCTAAATTTGGAAGGTTATGGAGATGGTTATGGCGTGTTTACAAACAACCACGTGCTTGGGACAGTTGTTGAAGCCGAAAACGCGGTTGCAACGTTCGGTTTTGAAGGATCCAGTGTCGGGGAAAAAGTAAAATTACGACCAGAGATAATGTTTCGAACTCAAAAGGTTAGTTTTAATTGTTTACTCGGAATAATCCCGAGGGACCAAATGACTTACAATGACAAAGAAATGGCGGATTGGCGGCTATGTTGGTGGAACAAACCAAATAAGTTAATTCGAATTATAACATGGCCAAGGCTGCGCTTTCTATTATGCGCAAACGTACAGCACAATTCAATGAGGAACGTTTATGGTAAAAGCAAAGTTAACTTCGCCTAAGAAGAAAATCTTATCTCCATTGACAATGTTTTACACAAAACAGTTAATTCATGCAGATCTTTGAATTTATGATCTTGGGAAGTTTGGAGAGCACCAAGGAAGCTAGATTTTCTCTCGACATAGCCTCATCAATTTAGGCCTTGGGGTGGTGTTCTGTAAATCATTGGGTAGTGGTGTGCTGCTGGGACACTGAAACCAGGGTTCGTTCGGGTCCTGGAAAACCTGGCAAGTCCTGGAATTTTATTGTGGCATTTTCCAGTAGTGGAAAGTCCTGGAAAAGGGCTACTGGTCCTGGAAAGTGCTGGAAATCTGTTAAACTCGAGTAAACAAATATGAAATGTATGGCAGACAGTAAGGAGAATTAACATTAAGATCTTGGGAGTGAAAGGGTTAATGTCAATTTTAGAGTCCTGGAAAAATCAATCTGAGTCCTGGAAAAATCCTAGAAAAGTCCTGGAAATTTGTTTCTGTAAAAGGGTACGAACCCTGTGAAACCCTCACCCTATATTAGACAATGATCAGCTTGATTTTGCAACCCTATTCTAGACTAGGCCCCAAACCCCCTATCCTATCCAGACAAGCTATCCAGACAGGCTATTTTCAATGCAAAAACTTTGTCACTATTGTAGTCCACTATATGCTAACTAAACCAATATTTTACAGAGTCACTTTTGAGTTTCAATTTCTATTGTAGAACTTTATGTAATAAACCCCATTTTGGACTGAAGTATTAAATTATGGGCCACTTTTGCGGTAAATTATACCCTATTCTAAACCAAAACTGTCTGATTGCTATACCCTATCCCAGACTAAACTGCCAAAAACCGTACCCTACAAAGCAGCACATACCGATATAGCAATTATATATGGGACTGCCTCTCCCCTGGTCTTTAGGTTGAGGCACACAAGGGGAAAGGTCCCTTGGACTAGTCCCTTGAAGAGTTTACATGAGGAGCTGGTGGGAGAGACTAACCCCTTGTAGTGTTCACGCAATGTGACTCATTGCATAGCAATGTAGAGAAAACTACACAGGGGCAAAGGGTATCATTCTTTCACTCTTCTTTCACTCATGGCTTTCCAATAGTGAAACTGAAATTATCGAATCAACAAATTATGTAACATTGAAATAAATCAGCACCCCCAACAAATATGTATGTCACACTCCAAACAGTGTTCTTCAATGGCATTGTCTTCCTGAGCCACCATCCTGATAAAGAGTTGTAAGGAATTACGCGAGTTTATTGTGTAGATCTGTGATTGGTTAGTTTGATCTGGTCGCAGAAACTTTTCTCACAAACAGTTTATATGAACTGACAAATTGTGGGGTTTTGTCCCTTAAATTAAAACCACGGAAATATCTGTGGGTCCTTGCAACTAGACTTTCGTGGCAAAAATAGCTATTTCACCCAAAGTAACTTGTTGACTTGTTATGGGGACCAGTCACTGAAAATTCATGCTTGCTGACTTTTATGCTTCTTGCATGCTTTCCAAACTTCCTGTGTACATCTTAACTTGGTGATATGCACTAAGGCATCAATCAATAAAAATTTATCAAATCTTGCATTAGTTTAATTGTCCATATTTTGACCTACCAACATGGTGGTGATGACATTACTTGCAATCAACAAATATTATAAGCCATGGCCATACGTAGCTACATGTAGAATCCTTTTGCATTATCTATCTTTAGTGTGCTCATTTACGCAAATACAACAGGGTGGGCAGCCTCTGTAAAGGAGAGAACAAGAAACCATAATATGTATTAGTATAGCACTGCGGCAAGTGAGGAGGCAGGTGCTACAGTATACACTATTTTAATACCAGTATGTGCCACTGGAAAGGAGGAGATCACAATTTTTACTCTCTAGGTCTGAGATGAGATGTGTTATTTAAGTTTCTCTTTCTGTTTTTCTGATTTTGAGCATGTTTTAGAATAGCCTTTTGCTTAATAGAAGAGGTGAATTTATTTGAATGAAAATTAGTGATATGAAAAGTGAACGACATTTCAATGACACCGTGTCATCATTATCAAGTTTGAACTTGATAGTGATGACATGGAGTCATCGAAACATCATTCACTTTTCATATCGCTTATCTTCATTCTAAAGTGCTTTACAAAACCTTTTATTATAAGGAATTTATTTGACTGGGAGAAATTGTTAGAAGGAAGATGTTAAATTAAAACAATGCTTCTTTCTGTGTTTGTTGTCAGGAACTTGACTACACATTTGTTGGTGTCAAGAAACAAGATATTGAAACGTTACAGCAAAGAATTGAACCGATACCCATGGAGCCCGAGCCAGAACTGAGAAAAAAAGATAGCATTATGATATTCCAACACCCCAAGGGACGTCAAAAAGAATACAGCCAAGACAAGATTACCAATATTGAAAAACCATTTGTGTTCTACCAGGCTGATACAGAGACAGGGTCTTCAGGATCACCTGTACTTACAACTGTTGGGCTAAAGCTGATAGCTATCCATCACAAGGGAAGTGAAGAGGGGGGCTACAACAAGGGAACTCTGATCAGTGAGGTTCTCATGCATCTAGAAAAAGAAACATGTATGTTCATTTCTGTTTTTTTTTTTCCTGTGGGAGGGGGGGGGGGGTATTTTTTTGGATGTAATGCTTTGTGCAAAGAAATCTTTCACTATACGGTAAGTCTATCAATTACTTTATCGGCCTCCTTAGAAACCAGAAGGAATCTAATGTAAGTCTCCTCCCCGACTCGCATTAGCTTGTGCGATCGTTATGCAGACAAAACAAAAGATGAGAAGGCACAAGGAATTGTGAGATGAGACACCCCTCAGATTTCTTCTGTTTCTTAAGTGGTGAATGGTCAAATTAGCAGATGAAGTGTTTGTAAGGCCACCACTTTATGGTCACATCGGCTGGACAGCACAGCGACTCAAATAGCAAAATACCAGATATATTAAATTGACTGGATGATGACTATAAAGACTGGCGTACGCTGTATTTTATTATATTAAAGTTAGGGGTATAACAAGTGGTGGCAAATTGATAAAAACGATATCCCACATGTGAGGATATTATTTTTATTCACACATGTGAGGATATCATTTTTGATAACATTTTTGTCCCTTTAACTGGACTTAAATTTGTTGGTGTATGATTGAAACATCTTTGAATCTTTTTTGGAAGTCTTTGGTGATCTTCGGAAATCTTCAGAAATCTTTAGAAAGTGATCGTTGTTTTATATTGTGAGAATTTTATACAATAAAAAGAAAAGTACATGGTCGCTTGGAGAAGAGAATTTCTCTTCTTGTGTTTTCAACACTTAAAGAGAAATTTTGTATATCTGCACTAAGGTATTGTAACCTTAAGTTATTTTTACATTGTACATGTATGCACAATGTATAGTTATTTTAGCGTTTCTTTGAAAATCATACCAGGTATCAAACAAGTAATACTGGTAGTTTGTTTCCTTTTTCAGATACTAAGCCCTCTGGCAGCATCTCAGACAGTCAAGATAGGGAGATCTTTGAAGGTTTGATGAGACTTTTTCTATAAGTCAAATTCAAATATTGGATCATTGTTTCATTACCCACCTCAGAATCCAAATAGGTGTGGACCTCATCCCCACCCTGTAAGTAACAAGCCTCCAAAAGTTTGGGACAGATTTAATAGTTAAGTTAGTCTCACTTACGTCAGTGCAAAATTCACTACCTATTGGAATTATTACGTTTAGTTACAGTGTAAAATTTTGCTGCTAGTAAACTAACCTAGGGCCATACAGGGGAATGTTGGCCCAAGGTTACGACAGTACGCATCCCATTGCACTCTGTCCATACCAAATTGACCAAGGACTAATATCCGAGCATATTTTGCTATTGTGTTTATTATCCTTCAAATATTTTTCACTACACACACAGTTTTGAAAATTGGGGAATATTCGGTCATGTGATGCATTTAGACCAATCGCACACGAGCAAAAATATTTGATGGATTATAATTGATATTATTTTATTGTTTTATTATACAGATATGCCTCCAAGAAAAAGGCCAAGGCATGACCAGGAGGACATCAAAAATGGCATGCCATCAGAAGAGGCCCTTGGCGACCTGGCGCAACACATAACTTCATTTTGGAAACCCTTGGGGCGCAAACTTAAAGTTCCCAATGCCAAACTTGAGGAGATTCAGAGTGACAATGTCCAGTACCCAGCAGTGAAAGAAAAGGCATTTCAAATGCTGATGGTCTGGATCGACCAAGGGGAATCAACAACATCTAGTGAATTGGCAAAAGCTTTACAGGCTCTTGGAAAAAACAGACTAGCTCAGGAGCATTGCAGCTGCAATCAAAGTTGTAAAAATTAGAGGGAATTCAACCTGTTTTAGACTAAAAATCAAAAGAAAACTAAGATAAAAAGACATACCCCATGGGAGGGCACATACCTTTCTGTAGCTGATATAGTGACATACTTGTACCTTTCCTCCACCCTCCTGGGGAAGTTGTTCAAAGGGTGAAAGATGTCACTCCCCAATAAGTTGCTGATCCAGTGATCCAGTGTATGGTGATACAGTTCAGATGCCATGATCCCATGCATATAATTTAAGTTGTAACAAAACTAGCCAAGGTATGCACTGGGTAGTGATTTATCCGTTGGCTTGTATTATCAACCCTTTGAACAAGCAAGTAATACTTTTATGACCTCTCAAAGTAGCATTGATAACGTTTTCACAATGTTTGTAAGGTGGTTATGAGGCCATTTTTTAAAATAGAATACATTGTAATATTGCATTTTGTTTATGCTCCAAGTGCATTTGCTGTAAAGTTTTAGTTTTAAGAATGTGTTTTACATTAGTTTTATTACATGTACAGATAAACACGAGTTATTTATTAAAACATTCTCTATATATTCATAAATCAAAAGTGAGATTCAGTCTGACAAATAATGCCATCTTAAATCCATAGTTATTGAAGAGATACATATCCTAAAATAGGTCCACGGTGTATACATTTGTGAACTGCCTTTTTGAATAGCAGATTTGCACGATAGCGACATTTGACTACAACCACCAGAATTCATTTCGCTTTTTCTTTATTATTTAAATTTTGAATTCCCAGTGGGGTTTAAATAACAATTGCCCTAATTAGCATAAGGAAATGAAAAAGTGAAGGATTCTGGTAGTTGTTGTCAAATGACGCCATCATGCAAAACGCCTATTGACGCCATAACAAGATCTTCCTGTAACCATGGAGACAGGAGAAACATCTTCAACATACTTCATAGAGATCTGAAATCGCAGACCCCTGCTGATGTCTTCACGCGAATCGAACGAATAGGTACAATAACGGTAAAATCACAACTAACAAGGAATACAAAAGAGCTCTTCCGCAAAGTCATACAAAACCTACTACAAATTCAAAAAAACAATTCACGTTTTCATATGCTGAGGGCGGGAGATTTTGTCTAAACCTGGCCTTTTGTGGGATCTGCGTTCAAGGCCTGCACTAGTACTAAAGGAAGGCCTCCTAGTTCTGCTTTTTCAAAAATTGTCTCGCAAATTTTTGCAAAATCGGAAAGCTTTGCCCTTTGATTCCTCTCACAATTTCTGGAGTAACATGTGGGAAGTCCCTCGCATTTTGCCCCCTTCGTTCTTCTGACGGAAAAACCTTTGGTCCTCTTGCGCCGCTCATTGGGAAGCCTTTCCCGAAGTCTATATAACCACTGGGTTATAGCTGCCATCGGACTGGCATGTGGTCAAAAACAATGTCATTTGTCTTCAAGGTCATCGTGCAAGAAACCCACGTGGTGTACTCGCTGGTTTGCAATAGTCGTTGTCCACGTTTGTGTATCTTTTTTCGTGGAAAGGACACTGGATATGGTAAGGGAGCCTCAGTGAATAGGGAGTTTTAGCAATGAGGACGGTGACGCCGGGGACGACGCCTTGTAAAAATGGATTTACATTTTACCTTCGAGTGTCGCAACTGTGTAGATCAGTGTAGAATTGAACGCTGTCATTGCATACTTAGCCTGAGCGAGGTTTTAGAACCATAGGCATCTTGGACAAATTCAATTTTACAAGGTGTTGTCCTCGGCGTCGCCGTCGTCATGGTTAAGATCCCTATNAACCTGTTTAGGGTATTCTCTGTATACATGTTTGTTGCTTAGCGATTACAAAAATAATCTGAATTTTCTAGTAGTCGAATTCAAAGATCATGTACACCGACACTTTGAAAATCAGTTAATGTTAATGAGCAGTCAGGAAATTATCTCAAAAATTATGACAAAGCTCTCAAGAGCGATAGAAATCTCGAGTACATAATGTCATTCTTTACGAGAAATGCCGAGCGATTCTGGAAACAGCTCGACGGAAAAATCACTATCACGATTTTGTTACATATCGCGAAGCACTCAGCAACTGCACTGCATGGACTCCAGCCTGGATGAACCAGAAAGGATATGTAACACTTGAAGGCCATCGTCATCAATAACGTCCTTGAACATGTCGAGTTGATACTCGGGGCTCTCCCGCTCTAAACCAAGTAATTTTGACAGTATTTCGCTTTCCGAAGCTTCCAGTTCTTCGGGGATTTCGCTACTTAATTGACTTCAAATCTCAATGTTGCGGAGACAATGATATCTGGTGCAATAACATTGAAAATTGTGATGCGTTAGACGGTGAGGCACCGGAAGTTGTTTCCGCTCGTAGGCATTCGTAGACGGTAGACGTTGTCGACGAATTTGAACTACCCTTTCGCTGTTAGATGGCAGAGAGGACCTTCAACGAACGTCATGAATCAAGGCTTAATCTTGCTACCGTAACTCAATATACACAAGGTGAACGCGTATTTTAATATATAACTGTATGTATAGCATAAATTACAAAGCCGTTACAGAACATAAACGTGCATATAAAGAATGCTTGGAAAATTAGCGTATTACAGCCTTCAGTTAAGCCATTTTGAATAATCAAATCCAGCCGGTGTCAGAAACTCATTTGTCCAGTTTCGCTATGACGTCAGTGCTTTCTCATTGGCTCTCTGAATCTCTCTTAATCTCTCTGAATCTCTCTTAATCTCTCTTAATCTCTCTTAATCTCTCTTAATCTCTCTTAATCTCTCTTAATCTCTCTTAATCTCTCTTAATCTCTCTTAATCTCTCTTAATCCCTCTTAATCTCTCTTAATCTCTCTTAATCTCTCTTAATCTCTCTTAATCGCTCTTAATCTCTCTTAATCGCTCTTAATCGCTCTTAATCGCTCTTAATCGCTCTTAATCTCTCTTAATCTCTCTTAATCTCTCTTAATTTCTCTTAATCTCTCTTAATCTCTCTTAAAACAATACCTCCTGGATATATGATCAAGTATTCTTCCTCAACCACCCCCCCCCCCCAATATCGCCTTACAGACTGCATTTCATTAATCCCCTACATTTACCTACACAGTCTGCAGTTCATTAATCCCCTGCATCTGCCTACACAGCATACACCTCATTAATCCCCCACATAAACCTAATTAATCCCCTACATATACCTACACAGCCCACATCTCATCAATCCCCCACATATACCTACACAGCCTACATCTCATTAATCCCCTACACATGCCTACACAGCATACATCTCATTAACCCCCCACATAAACCTACACACAAAACCTATCCCCCAGAAAAAGCTACACAGCTCACATCATATTAAATCCCAGCATATACCTACACGGTCCACATCTCATAAATCTCTCACATTTACCTTCACAGTTTGCATTTCATCAAATCGTTTCTAGAGTCTATACTCATTATATTCAGTGTTTATCAATCTCATGTAACGGTCGTAAGATATCTTGGAACAAGTAATTTGACTATCGCTATTCAAATTATCCGTTCACTGGTAGCCTGGGAGCCGGGTTTGTTCTAGGGCCCGCCCCTGCCGGATGTTTTTTTCCGCCCTCGCTGGGAGCCTGTTCACAGGCTACAATCCCGGCCAAAAGTAGTTGGGACACTTGACCTGTATCACGTATCCCCCTTCCCCCCTAATCAATGTTGGAAAATATCGCGTTTTCTCCTACAAAAAAGGGAAAAATCATCTGATTATCAACATTGAAAGTGGGGGGAGGGGAGAACTTGCTTCGTGTCCCAACCCTTTTGTCTGGGATTGTAGTTCACTTGCCGTCCGTTCAGCCGTTCGAACGAATACCGTAAGGAATGTTTACGCATGAGAGGTCACATATTTGCCGATGCATTTTTGTGGTTGAATCGGCAAAGTTCTTCTTCAACTGATGTAGAACCAAGTGGTCTTAAGATATCTTGGAACAAGTAAATTGACTATCGTTATTCAAATTATCCGTTCACTTGCCGTGCGTTCAGCCGTTCGAACGGATACCGAGAGGTCACATATTTGCCGATGCATTTTTGTGGTTGAATCGGCAGAGTTCCTCTTTTAACGACGCTTTTAGAGTCGAGAAAGTAAAATTGGCGATGTACTTACCTCTTTTTACGTGACGCGTGATCGGTGAAAAAATTCTCTGTAATGCGTGATTTAATAGAAAAATTCAGCGTGATGCGTGATTGGTACCCCACCTTTGCCACGCTCATATAAGGGTAGCTTAGTTACTTTGCTCTGATGAAGGGCGGACACTTGAAACATTAACTAACTGGTCACGACGGTTAAATATTTATCTTTATCAACTTTAAGTTGATGATTAGCTAAGTGTTTCTGTTGTCCGCCGACGCGACACAGCCCTACGGAATCTAAAAAAAATTAGTGCATAATGACTTCTGCTTGAATCCCCTTGATCACTAGCGGGAAGGCCAGTCAGTCACAATGCTGTAAAATTTGGGGCCTTTCATTTATATATTTTTTAATAATTCCCTCAAAGACCTAACATTTTAAACCAGAAATGTGCACAAACCAGTTACGTGCTTCAGGTAAAAAATTGTTCAGAATTATGGCCCCAGTTGTCCAAAGGCTAACCACCGGATAAATCGCTAACCAGCGGAAATCTAACCTTGCTATCAGCTGGATAATGATTTATCTGGTGGATAGCTTTATTCACCTTTCAAACGGAACCCGGACCAGGGCCAGGCCAAAATGGCTCAAAAACGACTGTTTGTGTGTTTGGCTCGTAAACACACATGCCCCATATGACGTATTTGGGTCTATTTGTAAGGCAAAACCACCAGCAACTCAAAAATTGATTATAGGGCTGGGGAAAGTAGGGGTTCCAGGCTAGTAGAAACAGGGGCAGACTTAGGAGGGATGTACAGGGTGGCGAACCATCCCCCTTTTGGAGAAGCAAAAAATCTAAAAAAAAAAAAAAAAATGAAAAAGATTGTTAAGAAAAATAACACCAGACACTCTGGTCAGGTACATGTATCTCGTTGTAATTTCTACTTTGTGACGTTGCTGGTATCTTTGGTGTAACAGTTTTCAGTAAGGTTCCAATTTCTCAAATTGCAGTATTTTGTTGGCACGCCCCATTGATCCTGCAGCCCCAAGGTACCAGTGGCCTGATTCTCAGCGCCGCAGGCGACCCCTGAACCGCCAAGGTACCAGCAACCCCTTTGAAAATCCGCCTCGGACACATTGCTTTCGCATAAACGGTGTAGTTCTGTTTGGTGATACACCGCGGACCACTCGCGGACGTTATAATTTTGTTGACACGGAGAAAGAGGAAGTGACATGAAATCACTGAGGAGTTTGCCTGCCTTGAGGTAAGTAAGTAATGTTTTTTAACGTTAAAATTTATACTAGCGCTCAAATAAGAGGGTTATAGCTTGGTATTAGTTAATTTTAGTGATGCAGTACTGCTGTTGAAAGATTTAATCTTTTTATTCATTTTTAAATAACCCTGCATGAGTTTTTCTTTCCGAAATTTGAAGCCCATCGTGAGTATTTCAGATTTCATCTGGATTTAAGTGTTAAAAACAGCCAGAGCACGACCAATGTTTGTCTTTTGTTTCCAGCAACACAGTCTTCGCTCATTTCTATGAAAACTTCAAACTTACAATAAAATTTATAAAGGTTAACTTGCCCGCAGTATAATGCTGGTGAATTTATCTATGAGATCTATTTTTTTTATTGGCAACCAGCTCTATGAAATAATTATTCTGTACTAGGAGTATTCCTACTCCCCATTGATGAGATGCTAGCCCCTGAAGAGTTAATCCTCAGGGCATGGCATTAAATTCACTGCAACCCATTTATACACCTGGATGAAGAGAGGTATTTTGTACTGTGAGAGTAAACTGTCTTGTCCAGAAAAAACAACCCAATAACCCCAGCCAGGGCTTGCAGTTCCCAGAAAACTTGATCTAGTTGCCAGCAAGCTAACATTACACCACCGGGTCTCCACACAAACTAATTAATTGTATGCATTAATTTAATTATTAGTTCAATTTTTTGGTATTTTTTTTATGTTTACAGATTCGTTCCACAATTGAAAGGTTTCAATCGAGAGATTATTTGCAAAAAGTGTGTTTGGCATCAGAGACCTCAAAAGCGTGCATCCTCGAGCATTGTGGTAATTTAATCTATTTTGATACTAAATGTTCTGAAAATCAGGGTTCAAAAGGAAGACCTCTGGAGCTCTGGATCCTCAATTTTATTTTTTTCAGGTCCACTGAGTCCTGTATGAACATGTTAATTAATACTAGCAAATGATAAAAGTAAATTACAATATTTAGAGAAGACGTCATGTCAGCCTTAGGGAGGGAGGGAGACATAGGTGGAAAGTGAGAGTTTCCACCACTGTACCATTCCTTGGAGGTTAGAGGCAATACATTTTTATGCAGCCACAAGAAGCTTTACCCTTTATTCATAACACAGTATTTTTTAGGCTTTAAAACTCTGGAGCTCTAACTTCCTTTAGGACTCTTAGGAACTCTTATTTTACACAGCTCTCTCTTAAATATGAGTTAAAGAGTTTGAATTTTGGTGTTTCGATGACATACACTATTTCTTTGGTGATTGACAAAACCCTGTAAGCCTTAAATCCAAACAGTGCCAGAGGATGCAAAAATGAGAATGAATGACAGGGAGTTGTGTTGAAATTCTGACTAACAGTGATGTATTAGGACCTTCAGAAATTGTAACATGACAAGGTTTTAAATTCATACAAGGGATATACATAACCCCCTTAACAAGACCACATTGTAAGCTGTTGCTGCTTCTGCAGGATTTCCCAGACATATTGAGAGTGTATGCAAGTTTGACAAGGAATACTACACTTGATATCATTAACAGAGATTATGGGACTTCAGAGTTGGTGTTCCACTGGCAATATTGGCTTAATAGTTTTCAATTGATTTTTCTTGTCAGGTTCACAATGTAGAATCAAGGTGGCTACGTCTGTTACTGAAGATGGCTGATCACAATCAGCCAAGTCTTGAAGCTGTTCCATCGCAGATAAGAATGACTCAAATACGTGATATGTTAAGTAAAGCGGCAAGGATGAGAAGAACTGATTCTGCTGGTGACCTTATGCCAAATGTAGGCTGTTTACATTATTTTAATTTATATCTTCTCCATGGAACACCAGAGTTGTACTCAGAGGAGAATATCACCCTGAGATCTTGACAGTGCTGACTAAGCCCAGTGACTGCAGGCCTATACAAAAAAGATTTTTAAATGATAGCTGATATTCTCCCAATAGGTTTTAAGCTTTAACATAACATTATTCTGTTATTGAAAAAAGAGCTGTCAGTAGAAAATTTACCCAAATATCTGACTAATACATGCAAAGTATTTGACTGGTTATAATAAAGCAATCTGATTTGCTGATTTTAGTGCTTGGCCCTCTGAACTAACTTAGTCATGTAATAATATCACATTATGAAGACATGATTGATCATTGCAGTTATACACACAACTTAAGTAAATGTGAAATTAAAGCCTGAAAAAAATTCAGGCCTGAACGGGATTCAAACCCATGACCTCTGCGATACCGGTGTAGTGCTGTACCAACTGAGCTATCAAGCCAACTGGGGGCTGGTCACATTGTAAGTTCATAATATACCGGTAGATGATGAAGAATGCAAATGAATATATGAAAGATCATATATTTGAACTGTGGAGAAAGGTATAAAGATATGATTGATTATCGCAGTTATACACACAACTTAAGCAGTTGTGAAATTAAAGCCTGAAAAAATTATGACTGAAAAATTATGTATAACTGCGATGATCAATCATGTCTTCATATCTTTCTCTGCATACATTTACAGCTATGTTATTGTACCATTATTGATATCAATGTTTGTACTGTAAAAGATTAATCAAGTTGAACATTGTTTTTTTTTGTTCCCTGGAAGCTAGGCTGTTGCCAAGGAAGTACGACACTTTTATAGTGGCTTATTAACTAAGGTAAGAGATATTTGATATCTGCAGGTGGAATTTTTATCTTGTAAAAAATAATGAACAGGCCATCATTTACTGTTGGTGAGTGATAAATCCCGTTTTAAATAACTTCAGAATCTGAATGTTTTTTGCATCACTTTTAAAAACAATCACCATTCATTGCCTAGAGGTGCATATGCTCTATACCATGTGAATACAATCAATAACGAAGCAACAACAATATATTGTCTCAAGTAGTATAATACTTGTATCAGCTTAAACAACCAGCGGCTAATGTGATGCTGTGCTGATTTTATTGTCCAGCGAAATACTGAAAAGGTGTGTTTCTTGTTCAACAAAAGATCTCCAAAAGATGCCGCTAGGAAAACTGAGATTTTTTGCAAACCAGCAGAAAAAAATTACAGGACAGTGTTTTTGAACTAAAAATAAGACACTGATTTCTCATAGGCTGAAAAGTTAGCATTCTTCCTTGTTCTTGAACGAGATCTTGGTGTAGATCATGGAGAAGTTATGGAGGTAACAAGAACCCTGGCTAATGCTCAAGTAAGTGTATGTGGTGGAAATAAATAGAATTTGTATATGATGTACTTTAATTGGATATTTTAACCTGGGTGCAAGGAAAGTCAGTTGTCCAGCTTGCCCTTTGGACAAGCTGTAACTAGAATGTACAAGCCAGACAGTCACTTTCACTAGCCTAATTAAAAATTTTCCATAGTAACACAATTAATAAATAATTAAAATCCATTAAAAAAGAAAATACAGTGTAGTATAGGTAATCGTATGAATGTGAGTGCCTTGGATTAACACTACGAGTGATATTTGAGAATTTTCTCGAGATTGCATGAGCCTTATAAGCCGGTGCAATTTGGAAAAATTAAAAATATCATGAGCAGTGTAAATCCTTAATTGCTTAATAAGCTTTCATACGTCAGTTACTCATTTATTGTATGATGTAGAAAGTTACGAACATGTACATGTTAATTTGAACTCCAGTCCAAATTCAAATTGGAAGATGAATTGGCCTGCTCTTGACAAATCACAATGAAGTAATTTCTGGGTCATATAATAAATTAAAACTTACAATAATTTGCTCTTTTACAGTTCTGATTTCTTCAAATTTTACGCAAAAAAAAAATCACTTGCTCATTGTTGGCCAAGTAAAGGATAGAATCCACAAGCCCAACTATAAAATACACCAGCCATGGGCTGTTGAACATGACTTTCTTTGCTTGCTGTTAACTTGTACTAACAATAAAATTATAAGTCAGATAGTTTAATAATACATGTGAAGTGATGCTATACATCGCAGCCATTTTATATATCTTTGTCAGGAGAATGGACTTCCAGCCATGTTACGAGCTGAGGATAAACTGCGGCAAGCTCTTGAACCTGCGCATATTCAGCTATTATCGCAGATAAGCAAGCTACCAGGAGGTGTCAAGGACATTGTCGACATGAGAAATGATCTGTTGGTAAGAGAACACTTCTGATTTACAGGTGAAGGACAAAACACTACCTGGTTGTCTCCTTCTAAGAGATTTACAAAAAGATAAGGCTTACATGCATGGCAAAGAAAGACAAACTTCAGTACACGGTATTCTACTGTACAGCCTGCTAGAATTTTAAGCTGTTCCTAAATCAGTCAAACATGTGGAAATTTAATAAATATTTCTTACTGACCTGATATTCTTGGTCTACACTAAAAGCTACATAATATTATGTACAGATCCTTGTTTTCCCCCTTTCTGTGCACTTTGTGCTTAGACCATAAATCATAAGGGAAAACATCTGCTTTGTAACCTATAACTTACAGACCTCAAACTTGGTTAGTAGGAGGTACAGATGTGTCTTTTATGACTTCTCAATTTTAATAAATAAATTATAAATAGTTCATTAATTAACAGGCCATTAAAATGAATCATGTAACATGTTCATGTGTTAACATGGTGACTATTATTTGATGATACAAGGAAGGATTGAATGAAGAGAAGGATCCTACAGCTAGACAAGAACTCCAAGCCCTTAGTTCATCCATCAAGAATCTCTTGGCTCAGTGGTTTGCTGTTGGATTGTTGGATCTTAGACGAGTAACATGGGAATCACCTGGCAGTATTCTAGAAAAGGTAATTATGCTAACAGTCTGTTTTTTGGACAATTCAGGAGGTAGTAGTCTATCCATAGACCCTGTATTTTGTCTTGAGTTCGTCAAGATCACAAGGTTAGCAAAATATTAACCCGGCGCACAGGATATGAACAAGCAAAAACACAAAGGGGTGGGGCTCATAGTGCTCTTGCACTTCAAGGAAAATATTTCATAGCAGACTTAGAGTAAGGAGGCAGAATGATATTTAAGGCTTGCACAGTCCAGTTCAGTCCAATGCAAGGGTTTTGCACATTAAGCTCAAATTTTTTATTATTATGCTAATGTTCGTTGCTCAAAAAATCTCACTATTACGCTTGAAAGGAGTCACTATTATGCTCCATTATGCTCACATAAAATAGCCAATATTTCCCCATAACACTTGATATGTTGAAGTATGAGCAATGCCTCAGCGAGATATAAATGGGTTAAACCTGTTGGCATGTGCTTTTCACTGCATAGTCAAGTGACTGGTGCCCAGATTTCTTTTGGGCTGCCCAAGGCCGCCAATCATCTTCCAGTTTTTGTCACTATCATTCTGACATAATGCTTGATTCTTTGGACTCACTAAAGTCTATTATCCTAAAAATAATGTCAGCAGCATAATATGTAAAACCCTACGAGTGCATAATCTATCTCTTTACATTTTGAACTCAGATATTGCATTACGAGGCAGTACATTCAATGTATGGCTGGGATGACCTAAAGCGGCGGTTAGCTCCAGACAGAAGATGTTACATATACACCCATCGCTCCATGCCTGGTGAGCCTGTGGTAGTGTTACACACTGCACTGGAGTACGAGATCGCAGATAATATTCAGGTACGTTGTCATGACAGCAGACACTTTCTGATCTTCCATAGCTGAGGCCTTAGAAATAAGGATCATTGCTAGCAAATCCCGAACTTTGTCCTGGTTTCAGTGGTACATGTAGGAAGTGTCTAGCACATCACCCAGTGAGCTAAGCTGGCAGTTGAACCCTGACACTTCGATCCAGAAATCAACATGCTAATCAGTTAGGCTAGAGGGTATCAGAGGTTTGATTGCGATCCTGTTCCTCGTGCAAATTTTAACCAAATTCATGCGTCTGACTCACATGTACCGCACTTATAGTTGCTTTTAACAGTGGTTTTTTTGTAAATTCGCAAATCACTTCTCTTAGCCCCTGGAGGGTGGGGGGCGGGGGGGAAGACTCCCATATGAAAAAGACGGGGGTGCTTGTCATAAAATTTGAAAAGAGCACTCCCATCCTTTTTATATGTTAGTCCCCCCACCGGGCTCATAGTTGTTTTCCATGCATCACACAATAATTTTTGACTTCAGTACATAATATATCAAAGACGAAAGACTGCGTTTGACCGCATTTTCAAACACTGAGAAAAGATTTGGAAATACGACGCGTAGCGGAGTATATTTGACGAACTCTGAGGTGTTTGGAAATGTGGTCAAACACTGTCTTGAGTGTTTGATTTGTCTTCTCAATTGCAAAACTAAAACTAAGGAGAAAATGGAGAAGTGTCATGCATAAACCCTTTCCCTCGCCATGCATTCGTAGTTGACCAAAAAATTGTCTTTTGATCTGTTTGAATTCAGGTTATACTGAGCGAGCCTGAAGTTGATAGAGATGAGTGTGAGTATGAGCTGGAGAAAAGAACCACTGCCGTGTTTTATTCCATCACTTCTACACAGAAAGGTACACATCTCAACATTTCAAAGAATAGCTGTTAGAAATCTGGAATAAGAATTTTAGGTTTTGAAGACAAACTTCAAGTCGTGTTTCTTTTGGTATACAACATTCACACGGTAATCAGTACTATCAGCGAATGCCCAACAGTGAGAAAACCAATATTAGATTTCTGTACATGTATAGACCTTTTTATGTTCTAATGGAGGCCATCTTGAGAGGGAGGGAACACGCGTCCAAGTTATCTCTGCACGTCAAAAATTCAGTTCTGGGAAGTTTTGGCCAAACTGATAGTAATTTTAAGAGTGAATTAATCCCAATTTTTGTTGCAGGACTAAGCGGCGTGGATCTTGGTAATTTTCTTATAAAGCATGTGGTGGAGGAGTTACGTCACGAGTTCCCGAACATCACACAGTATTCAACTCTGTCTCCTATTCCTGGCTTTAGACAATGGCTTCGACTCCAGCTAACCCTCGCCCTGGAAAAGCAAGGTAAGATAACACTTGTATCCTATGCGTGATAAAGGATTTTAAGTCAACTGTAAAACTCGGTCTTTGTTTTCTTTACCTCAGTGATTTAGAAAACCGCCCAAAGAAAATAACGAACAACTTTTCTGTGTCTCTATCGAGGTATAGGAATATTATTTTCAGTTCTCTTAAGGCTGTTTTCTAATAAACAATTTCGTTTTTACTCGAGATTTCATTTGGAGGCAAAACACTACCTGCATTGGGAAAACTTGCTCAGATCAACATTCTCTCCTGATTCATTGTCTTGGAGACCATTGAATATGTTTTCTTTTTCTGTTTGGTAGCAAAGGGTATTCCCCAAACTCTACTTCTGGAAGATGAACAGAAAAGAATTCTTCAAAGCCGCAAGAACACAGACTTGTCACCGCTGTCATTGTTCAAGGTCGGTGTATTGTTTACAGAACTCTGTTAGACTTGATGGTGACTAATAGCGAACTTCGCAAACAATACCAAAGGATTGACTAATGCCGGTATTGAGAATAAAGAATACCATCAGCTGTGAAGTAATACATAATCTTGATGTACAACCAAACTCTCGAAACCAAAAAAATTACAACTAAGTGAGATTTAATCTTTTCAATATCAAAATCGTAAGAATGACTTGGAGAGGGAGAGGGGTCTGGTGACACTACTGATCCCACGGCTGTCAATGGAGTCCCTCCTCAGCAACAGTAGACCCTTTCCCAGAAAATCGTGTCTACATGATTACTACAACTAGCTGAAGGAAATGAATCGCTTGTGGGTTATTACTTATCAGGCTTTTGCTGGACGTGGCAAAAAATTGCATCAATTGACCATGAGTTATCCTCCTTCCAAAAAAATATCACTTGTTCATTTTCTTTCTTTTTTTTCTCAGGACCTTTTAGGGACCAGTGATTGGCATGTTGACCCAAGTCTAGCTGACTGTATGAAGAGCCCGCTGATGCGCTTATGTACCAAGTACGTGATATGTTTTGTGCACCGTGTAAATGGCGTACATGCATCTGGGAGAGGGGGTGAGGAAGGTAGCAGCACATTGGCGAGGGTCACACGCCCCAGGATACACCCTGTCTATTAAGAAATCAGGGGAAGCGCATCTAGCTGTAGGGGTTTTACGTCTCACATATGTTTCAGCAGTGGAGAATTCCTTTGAAAAGAGAGATGAGCTTCTCGGAATGAAGCTTAAAATGATTGCTTCAAAAACTTAGGAGGGGGAAGCTTATATTCGGAGGGGGCTTATAACCGCAATTCTTTCTTTTTAATATCTGCCTTTAAATTGGCCTATAACCGGAAGGGCTTGTAATCGGAAATTTACGGTTCTAGATCATCAGAGAGTGTTTTCGCGTTTCGTTTAAGTGGCCATGTTAGTTTTCTCAAAAACAGAGCTGGTCCTTTCTTTGGAGCCAGATACGTTATTCTTCAATGTGTGGTGTTCATTACATGAATATTTTACGTAAATATTTTAGCGACGTGAACTAACTGTTCCCCACTCTTAACCCTGTAGGTATCTGTACACAGAGAAGCGAAGAGGATTTGTTATGAATCCTGTTGGTAAGAGATTTTTCCCAGACAAATACTACGTCGTGTAAGGAATATACCACCCACGTGCCACCCTCTTTTGTTCCCAGGTTTGCCTGGCTGTGGTCATCAACTACTTATTTCTCCTTATAAATTCAATTCATTTTCAAGTAAATTGGGTACGAGAATTGACGACGTGATCACCAACTATTTATGTTTGTGAAGCAAATTCTCCCAACTGTCCCTGACTGCGAAGTCGCGGTAACGCCTTTTCTTGCCTTTTCCTTGTCAGGTAATTTTCACATAAGGAATGGTGCGTGGATGTGGAGATTAAACTGGCTTGCAGATATAAGTGCCAGAGGAATGGACAATTCGTTCGGATTAATGATGAACTATAAATACGTATTAGAAGATGTGGACAAGAACAATCAGCAATACTTGCTTAGCGGTACAGTGGCTGCCTCACCCCAGTTCCTACAGCCACTACAATAACNAAAACTGAGATTTTTTGCAAACCAGCAGAAAAAAATTACAGGACAGTGTTTTTGAACTAAAAATAAGACACTGATTTCTCATAGGCTGAAAAGTTAGCATTCTTCCTTGTTCTTGAACGAGATCTTGGTGTAGATCATGGAGAAGTTATGGAGGTAACAAGAACCCTGGCTAATGCTCAAGTAAGTGTATGTGGTGGAAATAAATAGAATTTGTATATGATGTACTTTAATTGGATATTTTAACCTGGGTGCAAGGAAAGTCAGTTGTCCAGCTTGCCCTTTGGACAAGCTGTAACTAGAATGTACAAGCCAGACAGTCACTTTCACTAGCCTAATTAAAAATTTTCCATAGTAACACAATTAATAAATAATTAAAATCCATTAAAAAAGAAAATACAGTGTAGTATAGGTAATCGTATGAATGTGAGTGCCTTGGATTAACACTACGAGTGATATTTGAGAATTTTCTCGAGATTGCATGAGCCTTATAAGCCGGTGCAATTTGGAAAAATTAAAAATATCATGAGCAGTGTAAATCCTTAATTGCTTAATAAGCTTTCATACGTCAGTTACTCATTTATTGTATGATGTAGAAAGTTACGAACATGTACATGTTAATTTGAACTCCAGTCCAAATTCAAATTGGAAGATGAATTGGCCTGCTCTTGACAAATCACAATGAAGTAATTTCTGGGTCATATAATAAATTAAAACTTACAATAATTTGCTCTTTTACAGTTCTGATTTCTTCAAATTTTACGCAAAAAAAAAATCACTTGCTCATTGTTGGCCAAGTAAAGGATAGAATCCACAAGCCCAACTATAAAATACACCAGCCATGGGCTGTTGAACATGACTTTCTTTGCTTGCTGTTAACTTGTACTAACAATAAAATTATAAGTCAGATAGTTTAATAATACATGTGAAGTGATGCTATACATCGCAGCCATTTTATATATCTTTGTCAGGAGAATGGACTTCCAGCCATGTTACGAGCTGAGGATAAACTGCGGCAAGCTCTTGAACCTGCGCATATTCAGCTATTATCGCAGATAAGCAAGCTACCAGGAGGTGTCAAGGACATTGTCGACATGAGAAATGATCTGTTGGTAAGAGAACACTTCTGATTTACAGGTGAAGGACAAAACACTACCTGGTTGTCTCCTTCTAAGAGATTTACAAAAAGATAAGGCTTACATGCATGGCAAAGAAAGACAAACTTCAGTACACGGTATTCTACTGTACAGCCTGCTAGAATTTTAAGCTGTTCCTAAATCAGTCAAACATGTGGAAATTTAATAAATATTTCTTACTGACCTGATATTCTTGGTCTACACTAAAAGCTACATAATATTATGTACAGATCCTTGTTTTCCCCCTTTCTGTGCACTTTGTGCTTAGACCATAAATCATAAGGGAAAACATCTGCTTTGTAACCTATAACTTACAGACCTCAAACTTGGTTAGTAGGAGGTACAGATGTGTCTTTTATGACTTCTCAATTTTAATAAATAAATTATAAATAGTTCATTAATTAACAGGCCATTAAAATGAATCATGTAACATGTTCATGTGTTAACATGGTGACTATTATTTGATGATACAAGGAAGGATTGAATGAAGAGAAGGATCCTACAGCTAGACAAGAACTCCAAGCCCTTAGTTCATCCATCAAGAATCTCTTGGCTCAGTGGTTTGCTGTTGGATTGTTGGATCTTAGACGAGTAACATGGGAATCACCTGGCAGTATTCTAGAAAAGGTAATTATGCTAACAGTCTGTTTTTTGGACAATTCAGGAGGTAGTAGTCTATCCATAGACCCTGTATTTTGTCTTGAGTTCGTCAAGATCACAAGGTTAGCAAAATATTAACCCGGCACACAGGATATGAACAAGCAAAAACACAAAGGGGTGGGGCTCATAGTGCTCTTGCACTTCAAGGAAAATATTTCATAGCAGACTTAGAGTAAGGAGGCAGAATGATATTTAAGGCTTGCACAGTCCAGTTCAGTCCAATGCAAGGGTTTTGCACATTAAGCTCAAATTTTTTATTATTATGCTAATGTTCGTTGCTCAAAAAATCTCACTATTACGCTTGAAAGGAGTCACTATTATGCTCCATTATGCTCACATAAAATAGCCAATATTTCCCCATAACACTTGATATGTTGAAGTATGAGCAATGCCTCAGCGAGATATAAATGGGTTAAACCTGTTGGCATGTGCTTTTCACTGCATAGTCAAGTGACTGGTGCCCAGATTTCTTTTGGGCTGCCCAAGGCCGCCAATCATCTTCCAGTTTTTGTCACTATCATTCTGACATAATGCTTGATTCTTTGGACTCACTAAAGTCTATTATCCTAAAAATAATGTCAGCAGCATAATATGTAAAACCCTACGAGTGCATAATCTATCTCTTTACATTTTGAACTCAGATATTGCATTACGAGGCAGTACATTCAATGTATGGCTGGGATGACCTAAAGCGGCGGTTAGCTCCAGACAGAAGATGTTACATATACACCCATCGCTCCATGCCTGGTGAGCCTGTGGTAGTGTTACACACTGCACTGGAGTACGAGATCGCAGATAATATTCAGGTACGTTGTCATGACAGCAGACACTTTCTGATCTTCCATAGCTGAGGCCTTAGAAATAAGGATCATTGCTAGCAAATCCCGAACTTTGTCCTGGTTTCAGTGGTACATGTAGGAAGTGTCTAGCACATCACCCAGTGAGCTAAGCTGGCAGTTGAACCCTGACACTTCGATCCAGAAATCAACATGCTAATCAGTTAGGCTAGAGGGTATCAGAGGTTTGATTGCGATCCTGTTCCTCGTGCAAATTTTAACCAAATTCATGCGTCTGACTCACATGTACCGCACTTATAGTTGCTTTTAACAGTGGTTTTTTTGTAAATTCGCAAATCACTTCTCTTAGCCCCTGGAGGGTGGGGGGCGGGGGGGAAGACTCCCATATGAAAAAGACGGGGGTGCTTGTCATAAAATTTGAAAAGAGCACTCCCATCCTTTTTATATGTTAGTCCCCCCACCGGGCTCATAGTTGTTTTCCATGCATCACACAATAATTTTTGACTTCAGTACATAATATATCAAAGACGAAAGACTGCGTTTGACCGCATTTTCAAACACTGAGAAAAGATTTGGAAATACGACGCGTAGCGGAGTATATTTGACGAACTCTGAGGTGTTTGGAAATGTGGTCAAACACTGTCTTGAGTGTTTGATTTGTCTTCTCAATTGCAAAACTAAAACTAAGGAGAAAATGGAGAAGTGTCATGCATAAACCCTTTCCCTCGCCATGCATTCGTAGTTGACCAAAAAATTGTCTTTTGATCTGTTTGAATTCAGGTTATACTGAGCGAGCCTGAAGTTGATAGAGATGAGTGTGAGTATGAGCTGGAGAAAAGAACCACTGCCGTGTTTTATTCCATCACTTCTACACAGAAAGGTACACATCTCAACATTTCAAAGAATAGCTGTTAGAAATCTGGAATAAGAATTTTAGGTTTTGAAGACAAACTTCAAGTCGTGTTTCTTTTGGTATACAACATTCACACGGTAATCAGTACTATCAGCGAATGCCCAACAGTGAGAAAACCAATATTAGATTTCTGTACATGTATAGACCTTTTTATGTTCTAATGGAGGCCATCTTGAGAGGGAGGGAACACGCGTCCAAGTTATCTCTGCACGTCAAAAATTCAGTTCTGGGAAGTTTTGGCCAAACTGATAGTAATTTTAAGAGTGAATTAATCCCAATTTTTGTTGCAGGACTAAGCGGCGTGGATCTTGGTAATTTTCTTATAAAGCATGTGGTGGAGGAGTTACGTCACGAGTTCCCGAACATCACACAGTATTCAACTCTGTCTCCTATTCCTGGCTTTAGACAATGGCTTCGACTCCAGCTAACCCTCGCCCTGGAAAAGCAAGGTAAGATAACACTTGTATCCTATGCGTGATAAAGGATTTTAAGTCAACTGTAAAACTCGGTCTTTGTTTTCTTTACCTCAGTGATTTAGAAAACCGCCCAAAGAAAATAACGAACAACTTTTCTGTGTCTCTATCGAGGTATAGGAATATTATTTTCAGTTCTCTTAAGGCTGTTTTCTAATAAACAATTTCGTTTTTACTCGAGATTTCATTTGGAGGCAAAACACTACCTGCATTGGGAAAACTTGCTCAGATCAACATTCTCTCCTGATTCATTGTCTTGGAGACCATTGAATATGTTTTCTTTTTCTGTTTGGTAGCAAAGGGTATTCCCCAAACTCTACTTCTGGAAGATGAACAGAAAAGAATTCTTCAAAGCCGCAAGAACACAGACTTGTCACCGCTGTCATTGTTCAAGGTCGGTGTATTGTTTACAGAACTCTGTTAGACTTGATGGTGACTAATAGCGAACTTCGCAAACAATACCAAAGGATTGACTAATGCCGGTATTGAGAATAAAGAATACCATCAGCTGTGAAGTAATACATAATCTTGATGTACAACCAAACTCTCGAAACCAAAAAAATTACAACTAAGTGAGATTTAATCTTTTCAATATCAAAATCGTAAGAATGACTTGGAGAGGGAGAGGGGTCTGGTGACACTACTGATCCCACGGCTGTCAATGGAGTCCCTCCTCAGCAACAGTAGACCCTTTCCCAGAAAATCGTGTCTACATGATTACTACAACTAGCTGAAGGAAATGAATCGCTTGTGGGTTATTACTTATCAGGCTTTTGCTGGACGTGGCAAAAAATTGCATCAATTGACCATGAGTTATCCTCCTTCCAAAAAAATATCACTTGTTCATTTTCTTTCTTTTTTTTCTCAGGACCTTTTAGGGACCAGTGATTGGCATGTTGACCCAAGTCTAGCTGACTGTATGAAGAGCCCGCTGATGCGCTTATGTACCAAGTACGTGATATGTTTTGTGCACCGTGTAAATGGCGTACATGCATCTGGGAGAGGGGGTGAGGAAGGTAGCAGCACATTGGCGAGGGTCACACGCCCCAGGATACACCCTGTCTATTAAGAAATCAGGGGAAGCGCATCTAGCTGTAGGGGTTTTACGTCTCACATATGTTTCAGCAGTGGAGAATTCCTTTGAAAAGAGAGATGAGCTTCTCGGAATGAAGCTTAAAATGATTGCTTCAAAAACTTAGGAGGGGGAAGCTTATATTCGGAGGGGGCTTATAACCGCAATTCTTTCTTTTTAATATCTGCCTTTAAATTGGCCTATAACCGGAAGGGCTTGTAATCGGAAATTTACGGTTCTAGATCATCAGAGAGTGTTTTCGCGTTTCGTTTAAGTGGCCATGTTAGTTTTCTCAAAAACAGAGCTGGTCCTTTCTTTGGAGCCAGATACGTTATTCTTCAATGTGTGGTGTTCATTACATGAATATTTTACGTAAATATTTTAGCGACGTGAACTAACTGTTCCCCACTCTTAACCCTGTAGGTATCTGTACACAGAGAAGCGAAGAGGATTTGTTATGAATCCTGTTGGTAAGAGATTTTTCCCAGACAAATACTACGTCGTGTAAGGAATATACCACCCACGTGCCACCCTCTTTTGTTCCCAGGTTTGCCTGGCTGTGGTCATCAACTACTTATTTCTCCTTATAAATTCAATTCATTTTCAAGTAAATTGGGTACGAGAATTGACGACGTGATCACCAACTATTTATGTTTGTGAAGCAAATTCTCCCAACTGTCCCTGACTGCGAAGTCGCGGTAACGCCTTTTCTTGCCTTTTCCTTGTCAGGTAATTTTCACATAAGGAATGGTGCGTGGATGTGGAGATTAAACTGGCTTGCAGATATAAGTGCCAGAGGAATGGACAATTCGTTCGGATTAATGATGAACTATAAATACGTATTAGAAGATGTGGACAAGAACAATCAGCAATACTTGCTTAGCGGTACAGTGGCTGCCTCACCCCAGTTCCTACAGCCACTACAATAACCTTTAAAACGGCGTGACTCGATGATGAATCTTGCGTGACAGAAACGGAAATCGGGACACAAACTCGATTGCAGGATCCTCCATGAATCGTGGGACGGCAGGGCGGAAACAGAAAAGAGCCTGGTATCAAGGAGACCGTAAAATAACAGTGCGAAATAAAAAGGAATACAAAACACACGTTTCTTTTTGTAATAAGTCAAAGAATTTTCTAGAGTTATGCCTAAGAATTATCGTTACTTTCGTCAGATTATTCAACTCATCAATCTGGTAGTGAATCGTTTCCCCTCGTCGATGAAAGTGGATGCCGTTAAATACTACTAATTAGAGAGATTTTTAGTGACATCCTATCGAGGAAGCCATTCCGAAAGAAAGGAAATCATTTATGCGATAAAAGACAAATATTAAAAACCAATTACTAGTATTCATGCTAGTTTTCACGCACCGCCACAACGAACCAAATGAACAAGGGTGTCTTTACAGCTATATTAGAGTCGCAAACTGAAGAAATTCTCTCTGGTTCAATTTGGGAAACGATTTCTTTTCTTGTTCGAACATTTCCTATTGCGAGGCAATACCTTTATGGCCGCTGTAAAGTTTTTCTGTCTAACAATCAGATTATGAGCTCGAGATTTTCATCACTAAAGAAATCGAGAGCGACTAATCTGATTGTTTTAGTATAAATCTACTAGATGTTCAAAACTCCATCTAAATCCCCTTTAGACACTGCGAAAACGCAAAGAAGTGACCTTCATTTTGTTAACAACCGCACACTGCTAGAATACTCGGTACAACGTACAACGGAATAGATAGATAGTGGCATAGCCAATAAGAAAACGGCAATCGTGATCGACAGGTTATAGACTTACACTAATGCGTAGCTATAACTGCAAGTGGCCATCATTTTGCGGTTGACTAGCAAAAAGCATTAGTAAAATGCTGCTTCGATCGCCGCGGAAACTCTTGAAGAAAATCATTTTAATTCTCATAGAACATTTGTCGGCAAAGAAGTCGCCCGGTGCGAACGAATAATATCGTCGCCGTTTACCTTGGAACGCATATCATTTGAAAACTTACCTACACATGCAGCGCCCTATGCCCGTCTTTATATTATCAGAGCGCTTCTGCAAGCCATTTACAATCGGCGATTTTCGTTTGATCGACGGTCTAAAATCAAGGCAGAACATAGGCGTAAAACCAACGGTATTTTCGATCAGATTTTTAATTCACACCATCATCAACTTGCTTTTGATTACGGGTAATAATGTGTAACTTGCGTAACAGTAGCCTTTTAGTTTGTAATGAATGGCTGAAATCGAAGTAAAACAAAACGTGCCAGAGGCCACGTAAATGGTTTTTATTACATGCGACTGACACGTACTAAAACTTTTGTTTAGCTTATCAAATCAAAACGAGTATAACTGATCGAGCCCCGGGGCATGGACTGTATGGAGGGGCATCGAGGGGGATTTAGAAGCACGAGACGTGCTGATGTCGGCATAACCGTGAGATCCATGATTGCCAATGAATAGGCTGATTTCCTAAAAAAAAATAAATACGATGGCGAAACTCAAGAAGCTTAAGGGATATTCTTTTGTACAAACTGGGATTCAGTTACGTGAACTTAAAACTTAGTTCGAGAGTGATCGGGAATAATTTTTCAAAAAATTTGCATATTTATCAATTACTTTATCTCCTTCGGCAAAATCAGCTAAACGACCTGACTCCTCAGGGAGGGCTATTTCCGGTAATGTATCTTCTTTAATTGTCAGTGACTCGCTTTCAATTTTGAACCAACTGACGAGTAACATATATAAGCAAACAGAAGAATAGTTGATCAGATAAAACTGATCATTTGAAGAAAGATTCCTGTAGCCCGATTTGCAAAGAAATTTAACAGTTTGTCGACAATCAACGAAGCACAGCAAGGAAAAACAAACATCAGAATCAGAGGTAAGTAACCTGTATTCAGAGAACTATTTGTTATACATTTTAGAATTATTTAGCAACCGCTCTACAGGCCTAAAGTCCTATTTCGTCATCAGCTTAGGTCTTGAGGGACTGGTCCGAGAGAGTGAAGCGCAAGGCATCTAAATGTCGTGCCTTTGCATATCATCGAGAAGGCGAAGAGCGTGCGATCACATCATATTTCAACGCGTTTTCTTGAGCTCTCATGTCTGACTATTACTGTAACTTTTCGAAATAGCTTCTTATTGTTGCAAAAGGGAACTCGATTTAATATTCCCCCAGAATTCAATCAATTAGTATGTACCACACAAGTGAATAGTGTTTTCCNTTGCGATCCTGTTCCTCGTGCAAATTTTAACCAAATTCATGCGTCTGACTCACATGTACCGCACTTATAGTTGCTTTTAACAGTGGTTTTTTTGTAAATTCGCAAATCACTTCTCTTAGCCCCTGGAGGGTGGGGGGCGGGGGGGAAGACTCCCATATGAAAAAGACGGGGGTGCTTGTCATAAAATTTGAAAAGAGCACTCCCATCCTTTTTATATGTTAGTCCCCCCACCGGGCTCATAGTTGTTTTCCATGCATCACACAATAATTTTTGACTTCAGTACATAATATATCAAAGACGAAAGACTGCGTTTGACCGCATTTTCAAACACTGAGAAAAGATTTGGAAATACGACGCGTAGCGGAGTATATTTGACGAACTCTGAGGTGTTTGGAAATGTGGTCAAACACTGTCTTGAGTGTTTGATTTGTCTTCTCAATTGCAAAACTAAAACTAAGGAGAAAATGGAGAAGTGTCATGCATAAACCCTTTCCCTCGCCATGCATTCGTAGTTGACCAAAAAATTGTCTTTTGATCTGTTTGAATTCAGGTTATACTGAGCGAGCCTGAAGTTGATAGAGATGAGTGTGAGTATGAGCTGGAGAAAAGAACCACTGCCGTGTTTTATTCCATCACTTCTACACAGAAAGGTACACATCTCAACATTTCAAAGAATAGCTGTTAGAAATCTGGAATAAGAATTTTAGGTTTTGAAGACAAACTTCAAGTCGTGTTTCTTTTGGTATACAACATTCACACGGTAATCAGTACTATCAGCGAATGCCCAACAGTGAGAAAACCAATATTAGATTTCTGTACATGTATAGACCTTTTTATGTTCTAATGGAGGCCATCTTGAGAGGGAGGGAACACGCGTCCAAGTTATCTCTGCACGTCAAAAATTCAGTTCTGGGAAGTTTTGGCCAAACTGATAGTAATTTTAAGAGTGAATTAATCCCAATTTTTGTTGCAGGACTAAGCGGCGTGGATCTTGGTAATTTTCTTATAAAGCATGTGGTGGAGGAGTTACGTCACGAGTTCCCGAACATCACACAGTATTCAACTCTGTCTCCTATTCCTGGCTTTAGACAATGGCTTCGACTCCAGCTAACCCTCGCCCTGGAAAAGCAAGGTAAGATAACACTTGTATCCTATGCGTGATAAAGGATTTTAAGTCAACTGTAAAACTCGGTCTTTGTTTTCTTTACCTCAGTGATTTAGAAAACCGCCCAAAGAAAATAACGAACAACTTTTCTGTGTCTCTATCGAGGTATAGGAATATTATTTTCAGTTCTCTTAAGGCTGTTTTCTAATAAACAATTTCGTTTTTACTCGAGATTTCATTTGGAGGCAAAACACTACCTGCATTGGGAAAACTTGCTCAGATCAACATTCTCTCCTGATTCATTGTCTTGGAGACCATTGAATATGTTTTCTTTTTCTGTTTGGTAGCAAAGGGTATTCCCCAAACTCTACTTCTGGAAGATGAACAGAAAAGAATTCTTCAAAGCCGCAAGAACACAGACTTGTCACCGCTGTCATTGTTCAAGGTCGGTGTATTGTTTACAGAACTCTGTTAGACTTGATGGTGACTAATAGCGAACTTCGCAAACAATACCAAAGGATTGACTAATGCCGGTATTGAGAATAAAGAATACCATCAGCTGTGAAGTAATACATAATCTTGATGTACAACCAAACTCTCGAAACCAAAAAAATTACAACTAAGTGAGATTTAATCTTTTCAATATCAAAATCGTAAGAATGACTTGGAGAGGGAGAGGGGTCTGGTGACACTACTGATCCCACGGCTGTCAATGGAGTCCCTCCTCAGCAACAGTAGACCCTTTCCCAGAAAATCGTGTCTACATGATTACTACAACTAGCTGAAGGAAATGAATCGCTTGTGGGTTATTACTTATCAGGCTTTTGCTGGACGTGGCAAAAAATTGCATCAATTGACCATGAGTTATCCTCCTTCCAAAAAAATATCACTTGTTCATTTTCTTTCTTTTTTTTCTCAGGACCTTTTAGGGACCAGTGATTGGCATGTTGACCCAAGTCTAGCTGACTGTATGAAGAGCCCGCTGATGCGCTTATGTACCAAGTACGTGATATGTTTTGTGCACCGTGTAAATGGCGTACATGCATCTGGGAGAGGGGGTGAGGAAGGTAGCAGCACATTGGCGAGGGTCACACGCCCCAGGATACACCCTGTCTATTAAGAAATCAGGGGAAGCGCATCTAGCTGTAGGGGTTTTACGTCTCACATATGTTTCAGCAGTGGAGAATTCCTTTGAAAAGAGAGATGAGCTTCTCGGAATGAAGCTTAAAATGATTGCTTCAAAAACTTAGGAGGGGGAAGCTTATATTCGGAGGGGGCTTATAACCGCAATTCTTTCTTTTTAATATCTGCCTTTAAATTGGCCTATAACCGGAAGGGCTTGTAATCGGAAATTTACGGTTCTAGATCATCAGAGAGTGTTTTCGCGTTTCGTTTAAGTGGCCATGTTAGTTTTCTCAAAAACAGAGCTGGTCCTTTCTTTGGAGCCAGATACGTTATTCTTCAATGTGTGGTGTTCATTACATGAATATTTTACGTAAATATTTTAGCGACGTGAACTAACTGTTCCCCACTCTTAACCCTGTAGGTATCTGTACACAGAGAAGCGAAGAGGATTTGTTATGAATCCTGTTGGTAAGAGAATTTTCCCAGACAAATACTACATAGTGTAAGGAATATACCACCCACGTGCCACCCTATTATGTACCCAGAATTGCCTGGCTGAGGTCATCAACTACTTATTTCTCCTTATAAATTCAATTCATTTTCAAGTAAATTGGGTACGAGAATTGACGACGTGATCACCAACTATTTATGTTTGTGAAGCAAATTCTCCCAACTGTCCCTGACTGCGAAGTCGCGGTAACGCCTTTTCTTGCCTTTTCCTTGTCAGGTAATTTTCACATAAGGAATGGTGCGTGGATGTGGAGATTAAACTGGCTTGCAGATATAAGTGCCAGAGGAATGGACAATTCCTTCGGATTAATGATGAACTATAAATACGTATTAGAAGATGTGGACAAGAACAATCAGCAATACTTGCTTAGCGGTACAGTGGCTGCCTCACCCCAGTTCCTACAGCCACTACAATAACCTTTAAAACGGCGTGACTCGATGATGAATCTTGCGTGACAGAAACGGAAATCGGGACACAAACTCGATTGCAGGATCCTCCATGAATCGTGGGACGGCAGGGCGGAAACAGAAAAGAGCCTGGTATCAAGGAGACCGTAAAATAACAGTGCGAAATAAAAAGGAATACAAAACACACGTTTCTTTTTGTAATAAGTCAAAGAATTTTCTAGAGTTATGCCTAAGAATTATCGTTACTTTCGTCAGATTATTCAACTCATCAATCTGGTAGTGAATCGTTTCCCCTCGTCGATGAAAGTGGATGCCGTTAAATACTACTAATTAGAGAGATTTTTAGTGACATCCTATCGAGGAAGCCATTCCGAAAGAAAGGAAATCATTTATGCGATAAAAGACAAATATTAAAAACCAATTACTAGTATTCATGCTAGTTTTCACGCACCGCCACAACGAACCAAATGAACAAGGGTGTCTTTACAGCTATATTAGAGTCGCAAACTGAAGAAATTCTCTCTGGTTCAATTTGGGAAACGATTTCTTTTCTTGTTCGAACATTTCCTATTGCGAGGCAATACCTTTATGGCCGCTGTAAAGTTTTTCTGTCTAACAATCAGATTATGAGCTCGAGATTTTCATCACTAAAGAAATCGAGAGCGACTAATCTGATTGTTTTAGTATAAATCTACTAGATGTTCAAAACTCCATCTAAATCCCCTTTAGACACTGCGAAAACGCAAAGAAGTGACCTTCATTTTGTTAACAACCGCACACTGCTAGAATACTCGGTACAACGTACAACGGAATAGATAGATAGTGGCATAGCCAATAAGAAAACGGCAATCGTGATCGACAGGTTATAGACTTACACTAATGCGTAGCTATAACTGCAAGTGGCCATCATTTTGCGGTTGACTAGCAAAAAGCATTAGTAAAATGCTGCTTCGATCGCCGCGGAAACTCTTGAAGAAAATCATTTTAATTCTCATAGAACATTTGTCGGCAAAGAAGTCGCCCGGTGCGAACGAATAATATCGTCGCCGTTTACCTTGGAACGCATATCATTTGAAAACTTACCTACACATGCAGCGCCCTATGCCCGTCTTTATATTATCAGAGCGCTTCTGCAAGCCATTTACAATCGGCGATTTTCGTTTGATCGACGGTCTAAAATCAAGGCAGAACATAGGCGTAAAACCAACGGTATTTTCGATCAGATTTTTAATTCACACCATCATCAACTTGCTTTTGATTACGGGTAATAATGTGTAACTTGCGTAACAGTAGCCTTTTAGTTTGTAATGAATGGCTGAAATCGAAGTAAAACAAAACGTGCCAGAGGCCACGTAAATGGTTTTTATTACATGCGACTGACACGTACTAAAACTTTTGTTTAGCTTATCAAATCAAAACGAGTATAACTGATCGAGCCCCGGGGCATGGACTGTATGGAGGGGCATCGAGGGGGATTTAGAAGCACGAGACGTGCTGATGTCGGCATAACCGTGAGATCCATGATTGCCAATGAATAGGCTGATTTCCTAAAAAAAAATAAATACGATGGCGAAACTCAAGAAGCTTAAGGGATATTCTTTTGTACAAACTGGGATTCAGTTACGTGAACTTAAAACTTAGTTCGAGAGTGATCGGGAATAATTTTTCAAAAAATTTGCATATTTATCAATTACTTTATCTCCTTCGGCAAAATCAGCTAAACGACCTGACTCCTCAGGGAGGGCTATTTCCGGTAATGTATCTTCTTTAATTGTCAGTGACTCGCTTTCAATTTTGAACCAACTGACGAGTAACATATATAAGCAAACAGAAGAATAGTTGATCAGATAAAACTGATCATTTGAAGAAAGATTCCTGTAGCCCGATTTGCAAAGAAATTTAACAGTTTGTCGACAATCAACGAAGCACAGCAAGGAAAAACAAACATCAGAATCAGAGGTAAGTAACCTGTATTCAGAGAACTATTTGTTATACATTTTAGAATTATTTAGCAACCGCTCTACAGGCCTAAAGTCCTATTTCGTCATCAGCTTAGGTCTTGAGGGACTGGTCCGAGAGAGTGAAGCGCAAGGCATCTAAATGTCGTGCCTTTGCATATCATCGAGAAGGCGAAGAGCGTGCGATCACATCATATTTCAACGCGTTTTCTTGAGCTCTCATGTCTGACTATTACTGTAACTTTTCGAAATAGCTTCTTATTGTTGCAAAAGGGAACTCGATTTAATATTCCCCCAGAATTCAATCAATTAGTATGTACCACACAAGTGAATAGTGTTTTCCACCCATTCTGATCGGCTAGCTCGGAGGTGAATAGCAAGTACTATTCACATCCAATTCGGTGAATAATTTGTAAATTATGGGTGCTTGCCATTCAGCCAGAAAAATCTGGGAACGTCGGTTGTAAGTCAAATGGAACATCAACTCACTCCTCCTTCGGAACGACCGAAATTTCCTCACCATTTGCTGAATTCCCCAATTAACGGAAGCAACAATGGCAAACAATAACATCTCACTCGATTTGCTTGCTGAGTTTTGGAAATTCAAAGATCATCCCCGCTACTTGTAACAAATGATACCTAATGGTAAGCACCCTTGTATCATGGTGATGGGCCTCTTGGCTCGTATGCAGACTGAACTCTTACCTTACCTCATATACATCTTCTACTTAACCCACAGAAAAATAAAAGCTAGAAAGTTTAAGACTGCGAGACACCAGAAGGCATCGTCGTGATCAACAGGCTTCTTCACGAAGCATGAATAATTCTACAACCTTCACTCTTTACCAAAGCAGCTCAACAGCACCAGGGATCACCGCCTTTACACAAATCGCCTATTCAATAATCGCAACAGTTGCGTTTTTCGGCAACATTCTGGTTATTTCAATCTTCCTCCGTGATAGAAAGCTTTTAAAGAAGTCTTACAACATGCTTATTCTCTCCCTGGCCATAGCGGACGTGTTGACTGCCATTCTGCTCATCACAAATCCAGCTTTTGTTCTTGGTGACGCGTTTCCTTATCCAAGCAATCACGTGCTGGCCAACATCTTCTGCCGAGTGGTATGGAGCCGTGTATTTCTCTTCCAGCTGGTCATTTTCTCGGCATACATCTGCTTAGCGCTGACGATTGAGCGGTGGTACGCTGTGATAAAACCTTTCCGATATGGCGGAATCTTTAACAACAAACGAACTCTCGCTTACATTTTCAGCGCTTGGGTGTGGTCGCTAATATTATGCGGTAGCACTTTCTTCGAGGTCCTGTACGTTCCCTCAAATGCGCCAACCCGACGATGCAAGTGGCAGTTCTTCTGGGGTAAACAGCCTGTCCGTACTATTGTGGGCATCATTCAAGTCTTGCTAAAAATGGCGCTTCCAAGCTTCAGTATGCTGACACTATATGCTCACATGCTTTACAAGACAAGCAAGTCTACTTCGGCCTCAGCTGAAAGCAGAGCCAAAATGCGCGGGAAAATGACGCGTAAGGTTGGTGCCGCGTGCCTTGTGCTTATTTTGTGTTTAGCACCAAGTCAGACCAATTACGCGTTGGCAATGGCGGGAAAAGTGCGGATGGACACCAAACTACACCACGCCCTTTCTCTTTTGGTCTTCATAAGCAGTTGTGTGAATCCGTTCATTTACGGGCTAAGCAACAGAAATTACCGTGTCGGATTTCAAAGATTACTGTGTCAGAAATGCAACAGGGCGATACAAAGCACAAGAAAGCTAATGAACAGAAAGATTCGATCCGAGATCGATAAGTCAGAGGAAGGTTCATACCTGGAAGAACACAGAATTGGAGGAAGTACCGACAGATATAGACTGGAAGAGTGTCATACACGAGCCATTACTAATGGCTGGGAAAACAAAAGCAATATTGTGGATAGATATCTTCCTTGTTCTCTTGACTATTCGCTCACTAGACATTATAGTGTGTAGCATCACCGTCTATTTTTATGATCCTTGCAGTATTCTGGCGACACATAAGGGTGAATCTAAATACAAATGACGATTAGCAAAATCTCGATTTATTATTCAAGTTCTTCGATTTATTACTCAAGTTTTTCAGCTAAGGACACCCGCGAAGGTCTACGGTAACCCTAACTGTGTTATGCTCTCTAGCGGGGACAGAAGTTATAGGAGTACAACAAACAGCTGGCCCTAGTTGTTCGAAGGCTGGATAACTCTATCCACCGGATAAATCGCTATCCAGAGGATAGCGTCTTTTGTTTCGTTTACACTTATCCATTGAATAGCGATTTATCATCTTTGATTATTGTTTATAGTAGATTTTTAACTTTTAGTACATTTAAGAGGGCCACAAATTTATTAGTTGATAAACTATTACGTGTCACCCTCGATAAATAAAGTTTTGATTGATTGATTGATTGATTGATCGATCGATTGATTGATAGCGTTATCCAGCCTTCGAACAATTGGGGCCAGGTCCTCTGGAGTACAAACACCATGGGATACCGCGCGGTTTTTTTCTTTTTATTGCTGTAGTTGTTGTTGTTCTTGTATTCTACAGAGTGGAGTTGTACTTTAGTACTACCAAAGTAACGCAACGCTGCCCGTGTGCATGACTTCGGCCCGCGGCTGCCAAGGAGACTAGTAACTAACAAACAGCTCTGGAATACCAACCAAGAGAAATAACTTCAAAACAACACGTCATCCATTTTAATGGTAGAAACATTGTACTCACTAATTCATGATGAACATCACGAATTGTCTATATCTGGAATTCTATTTGAACATATTTTTACAATATATGACTTGTATTCAACAGAAATGTTATTAAACAGCAATGTTACTCTGTTCCCATTAATGTCTATTAACACCAGAAAATACAGGGTTTACTAATTTCTTTAAATATTTCATGAGCTAAATTTCAGTCCTCTCGGTGAAACAAGAGATTACTGCAGTTCAGTCTAATGAGCTGGCAAACGATTGCTGCATTTATAATTTCTATTTAACGGCCCTCTTCTTGTACGCCACAAAGAACTCCTTACATCTACAGAGATATTGTCATCGGGCGATACAGACGAACCGGGCTGATATGTTAGCCACAGACTTGGAAGTAGAACCAAAGCTTGCCAACTCCGCGTGAGCACGTGACACGAGCCTCAGACTTGATACCACTTCTTATCCTTGTATTTGAGTGACATTTGATGGGCGGCGTCCGCGAAGGCCTTGGCTCGCATATTCATCTCTCCAGTCTTCATTTCAAGCTCCGACAGCTTCTCGCCTCTCTCTGTAAGAGCCTAGAGTGTATAAGGTTTCATAAAAAGTCAAAAATTTAGACCATAGAACTCTGTTACATACAACAAGCTATAAACGATAACCCTTCGATCATTCGAAAAGCCTACGATAAAACAGCAACAAGTTTGCGATTGCCGTGCACGACACGAAACTTCGAGTGAACAATAAGACAAACAGAAACAATACCTCTAGTCCCAAACAATAACAGTTGCTACACTATGACGACATATAGAATTAACACATTTTAAAACCCTAAGACACTTGTAGCCTCAAATCGGCAGTGTTCAATGGTGAATTCTGCATGACAAGGGGAACGCGCTCTACAAAAGTAGAATGCCGAAATCGGCCCTTAGGAAAACAACTTAGACGGATAACTATGTAAGGGGAATATTACATGCATAGACAATACTTCCGTGCGGTCCAACTTCGTCGAGTTTGACTTTGTTGGAAACTCGAGAACATTTCTTGCTGAATTTTTCGACTTGCGCGCGCAAAGTAAATTGTTGACGTGTATGGGGCAGGGCAGGTTTTTCCAAACCGGCGCCGGTTGAAGGAGCTCAGTCACGGTATTTTGAGTTATATTGACCACGTACAAAATTACCTTTAAACTTATGGAAACCTGAAAATAATAGTTTACTAAGACAAAAAAACCCCAAAGAGATAATAAGAAATCATAAAAGAACAAGGAGGGTTAAGGATGAAGAGGATTAACACGGATTACAAAAGACGACCTTGAAAAATTTAAGCTCAACTTTTCAAGATGCGACAACCGTGGCGTAGCTCCTTTAACAGGTCCGGCGCTAGACACTTGTACTTTTGTGTTCTTTAGAAATTCGATGTCAGCTGGCCGGCGCGGCGGTATGACACCGCTTAATATCTCTCACCTGTCTGTTCCTGGCTAAAACACCAGCTAATCCACTGGAAGTCTCTTGGAGCTTCTCCATTCCGGGACCATTAAACCGATTTGTCAAGCTACGAGACGCATTCCCACTTTCAGTGCCAACTGGTATGAGTCAAAAACAAAGACTCTCAGAAACTGATTTTTGATATCTTCTCCGTTAACGTTCGATTTTACGCCCAGATTACTTATGAAATTTTTGCAGCACAAGCGAGGTACACGTTTATTCCAATACAGGCGCTTACTGCATAAGAGACCTTCGACGGAGGAAGGGGTGGGAGGGAGAACGGTTATTGAACCGAGGTTCTAAACATTGCGGAAACTTTCTTCAACCGTTCAATCACGAAGTTTATGGCTTTATAAC